AGAAGCAAAGACGTTTGTTTCAAGAAATGCCACCTTTTTGGAAAGGGAGTTTCTATCCGATAGAAAGGGCAGCATGATAGAACTTGAAGTAGTTCAAGAACCACAAAGTGAAGTTCAAACGCAAGAACAAGTAATCGAACCAATACAACAAACCACTAATATACCTCATGAACCTACGGTACGTAGATCCGAAAGAGTTCGGAAAATGCCGGATAGGTTATTCCTCCTCGAAAATGATGAAGATCATGTTGATCTTGGACAAGATCCAAGAACATACAATGAGGCCGTATCGGATGCGGACATGGGACATTGGCTAACTGCCATGAAATCCGAAATGGACTCCATGTACTCCAACAAGGTGTGGACCTTGGTAGATCCACCTAAGGGAATTGTTCCTATAGGCTGCAAGTGGATCTATAAGAAGAAAATTGGAGTGGATGGAAAGGTATCGACCTATAAAGCTAGATTGGTAGCGAAAGGATACACTCAAAGACAAGGTGTTGACTATGAGGAAACTTTTTCGCCAGTCGCGATGCTGAAGTCCATTAGGATTTTGCTGGCCATAGCTGCGTGGTACGACTACGAGATATGGCAAATGGATGTGAAGACCGCCTTCCTTAATGGAGATATTGAGGAAGAAATTTACATGGCGCAGCCGGAAGGCTTCATATCTTCTGGAAGTGAGCAAAAGGTTTGCAAGCTCCAGCGATCCATTTATGGATTGAAACAAGCATCCCGTAGTTGGAACATTAGGTTCGACTCAACTATCAAAGAGTTTGATTTTGAGAAGAATCCGGAGGAACCTTGTGTATACAAGAAGGTTAGTGGGAGGGCAGTGATATTTTTAGTGCTTTACGTTGACGACATTCTACTCATTGGGAATGACGTAGGAATGTTACAACAAACGAAAGCATGGTTGTCCACACGTTTCTCAATGAAGGATTTGGGAGAAGCATCTTATGTATTAGGAATACGCATCTATAGAGATAGAGCGAGAAAGATGCTTGGTTTATCCCAAAGCCTGTACATAGACACCGTTATGAAACGGTTTAGCATGGAAGAATCCAAGAAGGGATTCTTGCCAATGTCCCATGGGGTTCGTCTCTCGAAATCTATGTGTCCACAAACACCTAGTGAAATCGAGGAGATGAAGAGGACGCCCTATGCTTCTGCCATAGGAAGCATAATGTATGGCATGCTATGTACGAGACCCGATATTGCGTATGTTGTGAGTGTCACAAGCAGATATCAGTCTAACCCCGGCCCGGCTCACTGGAAAGCCGTGAAAGATATCCTCAAGTACTTGCGAAGGACTAAGGATATATTTTTGGTCTATGGGGGTGCCGAGTTGAAATTAGAGGGTTTCACTGACTCTAGTTTTCAATCGGACGTGGACGACTCAAAGTCGAACTCTGGATTTATATTCACGCTTAATGGTGGTGCCGTGTGTTGGAAGAGTTCCAAGCAAAGCACGACGGCCGATTCCACTACCGAAGCGGAATACATTGCAGCGTCTGAAGCTGCAAAAGAAGGGACTTGGATAAGGAAATTCATCCAAGAGTTGGGTGTCATTCCTGATGCTAATGATCCAGTACCATTGTACTGTGATAACACCGGAGCCGTGGCGCAAGCTAAGGAGCCACGATCTCATCAGAAGTCGAAGCATATTCTGAGGAAGTATCACGTGATCCGAGAGATCATTGATAGAGGTGAAGTTAAGGTAGAACGAGTCACCTCGGAAGAGAACGTTGCAGACCCCTTCACGAAGCCTTTACCAAGATCGGTCCATGAGAAACATCGAGAGTCGATGGGATTGCGGTTTATGGGTAGTTGGCTTTAGGTCAAGTGGGAGATTGTTAGAGTAGGTGACCAACAAGCCAACCTGTGGCTGTGGTCTTTCGTATTTATTATTGTAATAAACGAACCTTTATTCGTATTAATGATAAAACACATTGGCATTCTATATCTTTGTCCCTTTGTCACAAGCATAGATATAGTCCTTACAGTTATTACAAGTACTAGTAATTGATCGTTAGGATCGTGAGATATTTACTTAAGTATTATAACTGTTAAACATGTTCCTAGTCGAAGGGTTACGCCACTAATGAGGATATCGGCCTTTCCCATTAAGACTAGCACTTAGTGTATGTGTACTGCATCTCATCAGTAAACGGTATTGTGATATCGGCATGCATAAGTGGGTGCTCGTAAGTTGACGAGTTCACTGAACTCCCTCACTCTAGAAATCTCTAAGTGGTTCCCAATAATCGAGTAGAGATATCTATGGTATAGTTGTACACCATTAGTCCTTATGACCTAGACATCACCGAGACTTCACTAGAGGACCAGCTGTATCGTGACCTGTCCCTGAGTTCCACCGAGGACCATCCCAAGGGCCAGTGTTCGTGCAATCCGAAATCTAGTGGGAGGTCTGTGCATTGTAGTCGGGGATTCGATCGCTAGAATAGTCTTGGATGTCCTGTGTGTTCTGAAAGTTTGTAATCAATATAAGTCTCTGGCCAGAGCTGACTAAGTGATGATTAGAGGATTCGATTCTCTAAGTCATGCACGTAAGGATTACAATACTTGGAACGATCGCACCGTCATCGAACATATAAAGAGGTCTCGATGAACGAATGCCTCTTGTTCGATCGGGACATATGAATCGAAGGGACCGTACTGTACGTTAACTATATCTGAAGGTTCTTGCAGGCACTTCATTTGTATCTAGGGAATCATGACGCGTAGTTGCTAGACGCCAATCTTGATTCGTTGGGTGATTAAGGTGAAACGAGCTTCATCTTAATCGTAACTCTAAGGGACGAGTTTTGACCACAAAGAGTTGTGGGCCCACGGCTAGCTTACACATGAACCATCGAGGGTCACACTGCTCGTGCACATGAGATCTTTGAATAAACGGTCAAAGATAAAATAGTTTATCTTTGCATGATTGGAAGTCAGTATGATTGGATCCAACATTCGTAATTTGGAATTACGAATGAGAATAAGAAAAGGAAAAGAATAGGCAAACGTGTTAGTGAACTTTCTAAATCGGGAAGTTTCCAAATTTAGAAAGTGCACTGAACTAGGGTTTCCACTTTTGGAAAGTTGGAAAATGAAAGATGCCACTCGTAATGACGAGGATATTATAATGATTCCGAAAATGTAATTGTTGCAATTTTCCGATCATTGAATTAAGAGAGACGAGCAATTAAAGGAACTAACGAACTTAAGCTGTTGGGCCCGGTCCAACTTAAGCCCGCTAGGGTTTTATGCAAGACACTATAAATACAAGATGTATAGGTCTTGCACATACAAGTGAAAACCCTAACCCTAGCAGCCGTCCGCCCCTCTCTCTCTCGGCCTCTCTTTCCGCGGCCACCACCGGCCGTCCTCCCCGCCGTTTTCGCCGGAATCGGCCGTCCATCGGCCGATTGGTTTGGTAGCTTCTTTCCTTCTTTTTTTCTTCCGTTTTTCTAACTATTACGTGTCTAGTGCCACGTGTTTAGTAGATCGAAGTATACGAGGTGAAATCCGAGAGGAGGAAGATCGAAGATCGAGGAATCGAAGAGCAGCGCACGAGCCGAAGCCGCACGCTGCCCCACGCGCCGCCCCGGAAGACCGCGCGTGTACCTCACGCGCCGCCGTGGCTGATTCGCCGCTGCTGCCGCTGCACCGCTGCTGCCCCGATTGTACGGATTGGTTTTCGTAGCAATCTCGACTTGCTAAACGCTCCTACCTCACGCTTCAAGAGGTAAATACACGAAACCCTAGTTTCGATTCATTTACGTTTAAACTATGAATTCATGTTTGCTATCATATGATTTTATGTGATTATGTGTAATCGTTTTAATCTTTGCAAGCATGATTGTTGGTTTAAACGCGAGCATGTTAATTGATTTAAATTCGGTTAAATTATTTAGCATGTATGTTGTTTTAATTTCGCTGGAAGCGCAAAGGTACGCAATTAATTGATTTTAATTTGTCGGGTATGTGCTTGTGTGCTTTAAAGTCGTTTAAATCACATTAAATTTTTGTTTTCCGCTGCGTACACGTGCCCGAAACCCAACAGTACTATCTTCCCCATTATATGATACTATGTTTTCCCACCAACAGTACCAAATTTACCTATCACACATACTATACGAACAACGATTACGTACTGTAAGTACCATACGTCCATAACATATTTATATTAGCATGATACTATTACGTGCCATATTTTATACGATGTATCACAATAATTAACAACCATAAAGAAATGCATTTCAGCAGTACAGAAAAAGATGGAGACCTACCAGCCATCGGTGCGAACCCTCTTTCCACGCGAATTAGCTTCATCTTTGTGGATCACGACAATGTCGACCACACTCATCTTCATTATCAGATGCAATGCAACCATATTCTCCACATCTTCATCACTGCCCAATGTCACATACAATCTTTCCCGAGGAGCCAAGTATTGGAGGATCAGTGCATCTGGATGGATATGATTCCATTTGTTGATAATAGCACCATATATCTCCATTAAGGTCGAATTACTTTTGATGGAAATAATGTGAAGTTGATCTTTGTATCGACAACTTCCAAGAATCACAGTGGGTACATCATTAGATACATCATTTGTAGCCATTGTGGGGTGGGTGGGTTTTACAGTGATTTTTTCGTCGGAAAAAGAGGAAACCAGAGGAGAGAAAGAGAGAAGAAATAGAGAAGAAAGAGAGCAGATAGAAATGAAGAAAGAGAAGATGAAGAGAGAGAAAATGAAGAGAGAGAAAATGAGGAGAGAGAAAAGGGTGAGAGTAAAAAGAAGAGATAAAATATAATAAAATTCACATTAGGGACTGATCTGCATGTCCACGCGTGAATAGGGACTGAATTGTTTGGAAAAACTACCTAGGGACTGATCTGTGTTTTGAGTTTTGAATTATGGATTTATCTGTAGTTTCCCCTTGATAAAACTAATAATGGCTAAGTTCCAATTAAAAAAGAAAGTAACCTTGATAGAAATTGAAAAGATACTATTATAAAGATGATGGTTAAGTTGAAAGTACAATGCTCTCGTTTTTGGAGTGTTATTGTACTGCAGAATTCACTGAATTGATCTGTCTTAGATAAATACTAGACTAAATACATACAAATTTCTGCTTGATTTACACAGACATGCACCACAAATACATATGATGAATCGGTACAGTAAATTAACTAGAGCTCAAAATGCTATTTCTTGAAATGTCAAAACTAAATAATAAAGCAATTTATTTAGGTGAATTATTATGGTTCTTTGTGAGCACCGGGTGGTGCAGCCGGCATCGGGAAACTGTTGGATTGAAGAGGAGCATCCACATATGGACTCTGCCAATATTTTTCATTCATTCATTCATATTAATTATTAAACAAACATAATGTAATGTAATAATACGAAAAGGCTTAATTACCTGATGCGACGACACGTCATCGTTATTTGAAGAAGATCTTGCAGCAGCAGCAGTATTGGTGGTTGCTTCATGAGTTCCACTCAATTTGAGGATAGGATCATTTTGCACATTTTCAACTCCATTAACTGACTTCACACTCTGAACCATACATACATATAAGTCAGAAACATATTATACTACGTACGTACGTACGTACGGGGGATTAATGATCGATCGAGTTAGTAATGAATTACCTGGAAAATTTTGCCGAGGGTTTTCAAACCCCTGGCGCGTAGGTGGAGCTCCTCTTTTTTAGCATTGTTGTCTTGTAGAACCTAATTAATTAGAAGATGAATGAAATATTGAAAGAGAAATTAAGACAGAAAGAAGAGAGGATCTGAGGAGGAGGAAGAGACCATCTGACAAACACGGGAGAGGGTGGCTTCAATATCAGCGACATTGAGCTTCCATAAGGAATCAATCATTAACTTCTTGTGTGATTGCATGTATTCTTCAAGTTCCGCCTCTGTGTAATTTCCTTCTGCACTCAGCTGTCTTTTCATATCTTCTTGCAGCTGTATTAAAGCTATTGCACCTATATGTATGTATGCATGTATGTATGTTTTTAGTGTGAAAAAATGAAATGATTTTATGAAAAAGAATTACTATAATATATATGACCTGTGGCAGCAGTTACTTGGGATTTGATAAAGTGACCTTTATTTCTGAACCACTCGGCAACAAATGGCACACCCAAGAATATCACTTTCTTACCAAGCTCCTTTGCCGCCTGCCTTGCATATATATACCCTATCGTACTCAACATATCCACTCCATATGCTGCATGTGTCATCACAACCATCCATCATCCAATCACTCACTTAAATATAATCACATCATTTTATATTCGATTTCATATATACTTACCAGCATTAGAAAGCCTAGAGACTTCGGCCTCAGCATGACGCACAAATTCGTCCTTGTCTCCTTGTATGTAGAGGTTCAGTCTATCTTTCAGTATACCAGCCAGCTTCTCTTCCCTTTCTTTCTGGACACTCTATACAAATGTATGAATTAGGTAGTTTTAATAATTTATTCAAGTAGAACGAACGAATGAATGAATGAATGAATAGGGGTGGTTTAATTTACCCGCATTTTGTCCTGCAACTTTTTTATATCCAATTCTTCGCCTTCTGCAAAAACATCCAAGGAGGCCATAGATGCCATTGCAAGCTGCCCAATGTATTCTTCAAATAGCTCACTTCCAAATAGCATCGCAAAAATTGCTGCTGGATCTATTATTGCGTCTCTGAAATCAATCATAATTTACCAACCAATCAATACTCATGAACACAACATTCAGATCTATTTATAAAACTAAGAAGAAACTGATCAGAGGCACGTGTACGTACGTTGAAATTCCAGACTTTCCATGAGCATCATAAGCTTGTCTTTGTGCTGGATCACTCAGCACTTGGTAAGCCTCACCCAATATCTGAATTCATAAATGAGTTATAGTTTTTGTTACTATCCTTCAAATCAAAATCCAAATTCTGCAAGCTACTGAAGAATATATATAACGAATAAATTCTCCAACTGCTGTAAAGCATAACATTTTTCAGAAAAATTACAATTAACATTTTTCATTTAATAAATTGTTAACTTTAGTAGTTCCGTTGATTACATACGCGGAGACATGCTTGATTAAAAAACGAGAGAAACAACATGGTAAATAATAGACCTGAAAATTTTGTGCAGCCAAAGGATCATTGGGATTTTTATCTGGATGGACCTGCCTTGCCTTTAACATCCAATTGATAAACAAAAAGAAATGAATTGATTCAGAATAATGATAAATGAATTCATTGATATATATATTATAATAAAATTGTCTATACATAGATATTGTCAGACCAGACCAGAACAAAAGATTCATGAGTTCTGAGGATATGAAAATAAATTATTGAATCCAAAAGACTTGAAATAAAATAAATCCATTCATAAGCAAACCTTAATATAATAAGCTTTCTTAATATCGGCCTCGGTGGCGGTGGGGCTCACACCCAGTACGTCGTAGTATTCCGTTTCCTTCACCATTGATTGATGATTGATGATTGATGATCAATGATTGATGATCCCCCCACCAAAAATATATGTATGTATGTATGTATATATTTCTTCTTTTTACCTGTGTGATAATTAATATCAAACCAGCAAATCGGATCAACAGAGAAGAAGAGATGAGATGATAAAACAAATTGAGCAGGATATATAATGCTGTATGAATTAATTAGATTATTACTACGATGAAACCACCTTTTATCAAAATGAAATAAGTGTAGAAATAGAAATACCACCAAATACCAATGTTTTATTTTAAAATTAGACTTTTTTTTTCTAACGTGTCGGTAAATGAAAATTATGTTTGAGCTCCATATTAACCACCACTGCTAGAGCTACTAGACTCAAATCAAAAACCATTTTTTGTTTTGTTTTATTATTATGTGTGATACTGATTACTGACATCATTTGTTATGTAATAATTTTCAATCGAATCATTAATCATCATGTCATGATAATCTCGTACGCTCAGTACTCATACGTCTACTCATTTCTGTAATTTAGTTATGGTAAACAGATTATTTTGGACCCCTGATCACCAATCGATGAACATAGAACGGATTTAACTATGAATATTTAATTTCAATGTGCATCTTTTACATCTTCCCTTTCAGAAATTCAAACTACATTTTCGACTAGAGACAAATTACGATTGATATATTGGAAATCAGGATATTTGTTAGATTGGGCGTCCAAGCTCAATATCCTTAACAAGAGGAGGAGCTGTTGCAATTCCCTCTTTGAGTAATCTGATTTCCTCTTCTGTTAAGCTGTTCTTTACATGGTGGGGCGCTAAAATCTTCGCATGTGCGTGTGCGTGTGCGTGTTTTTCAACTTCAACTGCCCAACTATAAATAACCATACCAATCACTGCAACACCCATTCCCATTATATTCTTTAAAGTCAACTCCGAATCAAAAAGCAGCCAACCCAATGTCAGCACACACACCGTTTTCATGTGCCCTAGTACTTGGAACGAAACTGCCGAAAATCTTCCTATGCAGAGGTACTGGCTCACGTTGCAGAACACAGCTAGAGAACATGATAGCACTATGAACGACTGCACGTATTTATTTGCAAACCCCACTAGTTATTTATTTATTTATTATAAAGCTCCAAATAATGTAATCAAATTATTCACAAGTAAATGAATGCTTACCACTGCTCCAGAAGTGAACTTGTAGTCCAGTACTAAGTTATCCGAAAGATAGTAGTCGACTATAGGACCCAATAAAAGGAGAGAGACTGCTTGAATTGGAGCTGTTTTACTCAATAGTTCAAATGATCCAACTGAATACTTCTTCTGCAATGAGCCTATTGACTGCACCAAAACAATATCACCGTCTAATCAATAATCCTGCAACCGTAAATGCAATAAATAGAAGAGAAAATTGTGGAAGAAAGTTTCAGAGGGAAAAAAATCCCAACATGTAGGATAAGTCCAATTTGCAGACTTGATACCAACTGGACAGTTTTGATATGCCCCGTGATGTATTTTCAACTTGGGATATATAAATGTGAATATTTAACAAAAGCTGTGGACTATGATACGAACCTCTTCGAAAATAGTAGCAAACATACTGTGGGCAAAAATACATAACCCCTCCTTATTTTCTTTAAAAACTAGATTCTAAATTTCAGCTTCAATACCATTTAGACAGGGATCCATTACATAGACGAGTACATAATATGCATGTGTAATGTGTCTTCAAAGGCCAGCAAGACAAATCAAAATCAAGTTTATTGTTCTTTGCCACGGTATAGAGAAAGCAAAAATATATGTAAGTAGGAGGTCTTTTTTAACATACTTGGATCTCTAGTGCCTAACAACTCGACTATTTTATTAAAATGTCATGTGCAACTTTATTGCAAAAACAGCTTTTCAAGATATCTACTATCTAGTGGACTGAAAAGGAAAAACATTTGTTATTAACAGTCATTTGACAAAACTCGACCACCATTTCAAAGTTGGAACAAATCACAGGTCATCCAGAAGTTTTCGATCACATCCATACTACTGCATTCCATTGTTATTTCCATATTGTATTGACAAAAACTAATAAAATTTACTCACGATTTGTTGCAAAGAGGTTGAGAAAACTGCAACACAAGCACATATAAAACCTTTGGCATTTACTTTGACGTCTGTCACAGTGCAAACACCCACACCTATAACTACAACCACAACGGCTAATTTAACTTCTTTTGTAAACTGCTTACTATGAAGGATCCATTCCATTACACAGACAACTGGAATCATGCTCAATTTTGAGATCTGCACCAAAAATATAATAGAGAATTATCAGAATAGAGAAAGGAAGAATTTGTAAAGCAGAATTATCAGGTTATTGTAGTACAAAAAACAAATATCAACGATTTACAAAGGTGTAATCCATGGAAGTGGTTAATTACTGTCGTGTACCTTATAAGAGAGAAACTGGATTATCTAACCCATCCTAACATAAAATTGCAAATCAATTTTATTTCCTACCAAGAAACTCTGTCATCATTGTGAGGTATACTTCACATTACGAAATTACAGAGGGCCGTCAGGAATTAAAAAGGACAACTGGGAGAAGCTAAAAACTGGATTCACTCAGCTCGAATTTGACAGATTTGATAGAGAAATAAATTACCCTTTTACTGTAAATAATTACATGTATCAGTGATTCCAGCTAAACAAGCATTTTAGCAAACCAAACCGGCACTAGAGGCCAGATATCTTACATCAATGGGAAACCATATTCATAAATCATAGGATACTTGGTAACCCCTATAACCATGAGAATATTCGTCAAATTGTTCAGACATGTAAAATTTCGATTTGTTTAACAAGAATGAAGAGAAACCATTTTTTTCTTTTGCTAACAAGTCAATAATAGGTACAACAGCATATTGGCTGTCAGTTATGCTAACAAGTCAATAATAGGTACTTTGAAAATATTATTCCATGAATCTCTTGAACTATAGGGACAAAGAGGACCTCTCCAAACTGTTAATGCATTCATTCCAACTTGGCTGGAATTACCTCTCATGGTTTGACCTATTAGCAACTGATTTCCAGTTTGAAATTTTACATGGCATGAAAAAGTATTTCTCCAAAAAGGTGATTTGATTGATGTCACTATGCGGATTGGTTACCGAATGAAGAGAAAAAATGCAGCCATTTTGGATGAGAAAAGATGTTGGAGAGTGTACTAAAAATCAGTTTGGCGTTTCTAGATGTGCTTCTACTTCTTGTTAAGTTGTTTTCCATTGACGAGTCCTTTGGTTGAACTTTTAACTTATGAAATAACAAGAATTAAGCTTAATTTGCAATAATCTGAGCCTGTGAAAGGAAGGATCGGGAGAGTAGATGCAAATATTATTGATAAAATCCATCTTGCAAGAAGATTTCCATGTGAAATTTCACACATCGAATTTCAGCTTACATTCCCATAATCTTAGTAGTAGATAACTCTCTGTTCAATTATCTTAAGTCTAAACGAACTTAGTTGATCTCTTAGAAATCCAGTTCGTTGCTTCTAAAGTTCTCACCACTAGTGTACCTGCCGCTTAAAGATGTCATCAAGCTTCTTCAATCATGCTACCAAGACTATGTTTAGTTCTTAGCCAACAAATGTTGTTGATCAATATTGAATAGGATTAACAAACGTCATGGAACAAATATACAAATTACAATCTCTATCCGGACATACAGAGATTCAGATGCCACAGTTCATATGTTCAAAAGAATAAAGATTTGTTTCACTCAAGCAACATTTGAAAACTGGCATGTGTCTATCTATTGCAGAAACATATAAGAGGATATGAAATCGTACTTGGTAAAATCCGACTGAGTTTAGCATGAGACTCAAATTCATCCCTGTGATAGACATATTTGCAACAATTGAGAACCACAGAAGTTCCCAAAGAGGAATGTGCTTTGATGCAGAGAAGCCTGTAGCATTTGAAATCATGCCAACAAGTGCGGTGACAGCAAAATGGAAACCGGTCAAAGTTGTCGCTGCAGGGAGAAACAGATGACATAAATATGTAGTTAAAGAGTTGCAACCAGTTAAACATAGATAACTAGACTTAGTTGGAAAGTAACATTATTGACAATTGATTAATAAACATGGATCAGAACACCATAAACAATGACAATAAATTATGAAGCTAAATAGCCCATAAGTGAAAAATTGGGGAAGTAAAATGCGTAGTAGACACTTTACTTTGGAATAAATACACTGCCCAAAACAACCGAAACTAAAAATTTCCATGTATCTATCGTAACTAAGACGGGAAACAAGGCAAAATTCACTAACAAAAATGCTGGATATTGAAACCAAAGATTCTCCTCCTAGGCAAAAATTTAGAGATCCAATGGGAGAAGATAAAAAAAATCAACAAACAAATACATACATATTCAGCATGCAAAACAACTAGAGAAATGAAAAGAAACAATTAAAAATTGAAGCTGGTTTCTTCTTCTTCTTCTCACCATAGCTGAAAGCATATCCGTTGGCGGACATAAGTTGCTTATTTACCATAATAATTCCAACAGAACTGACGACATTCATGGCCCACGCACCGACATCCGAAACCGCTAATGATTTCTTCTCCCCTTCCATTTTTTTTTCTTTCTTTCTTTCAAACTATCTGATTCTGCCTCAACTGTCACTGATTATTACTAGTAGAGTATGAAGCAAGCGATTAGCCACTTTGCTGATTATCAATTTGAAGAAGAAGAAGAAAAAAAAAGGTGTGAAGTGCGCAGCAGCTGCAGATCCGCCACTGGTATCAATGAAAAGGTGCTGATTATGAATTTATGATTATAAGAATGAGGTGTGGTGTGGGCATAGATCTCACATGGGTGAATGTGTTGGACAAAATTTAATGCTAGAGAGAGAAACAGAGGAGAGAGAGAGAGAGAGGGGCGAATACGACGACGAAGACAACCGATTATGATGATGAAAGATTCAGAAGCAACGTTTCATTTTGCTATTTCTTCATTTTCAGCAATTTCAAGACCATATAAATATAAATAACAAATTAAATACTTGATTTGATTTGAATTATTAATTTATTAGAGTGTAGTTAGTAGACCCAGGCAGGCAAGGGAGGGGAGGGGAGGGGGGCACTTTTTCTTGGGCATGTGAGTGTTGCGTATAAATGTTTCATGAATTAAATGAGATCTGTTTTCTTTATGGGAATGGAATAACAGAATGAATGACAGAAATATACCAATCCCTAATCTTTTTCTTTAGGTAAATGCCAATTATTGTCCCTAATAATTTTGATTACCCAGCTTGACACGGGCTTATTGCCCAAAAATTCAGATAATAAAAATTCAGATAATAAAGATTTTGCAGCAAAACTCATAAACACCTCATGCCCATTTCAAATTTGTCTGCTATCACTCTATATGAAACTGACCACTAGCCCTATGTGCCTACATTCCGACCTAAGGATAAAGAAAGGCGGAAAGTCTGCAACATGACATTGACTGAGCTAAGATCCACTTGTGGCTCAAAAAAAGGTGACCACACCTACAGGCTTTCCCCACTAAATTAGACTCACCTCGCAACAAACAAGACAATTCACCCTACACGTGATCTGACCACAAACATAGTAGGGGGCCACCACCCCATCCCTACGACAAGTATAAACACAGTCTTGAGGTACAAGAGAAGACTATCTTTAGTATTCTGATATACGCACTTATTTTCACTATACTCGTATATTATTCCTCCAAGATTCCGATTGACTTGACCGTCGTAGTGCTAACACCCGGCAAACCCTTCCCCCACACTTCTTTTTGCAGGTTTCTTAGGAACGTGTGGACTTGTTTGGGCTTTCATCGATACAGGCCCATTTTATTCTTTTTTTATCCGATTAAGTTATTTGGACTACATCAACTGGCGCCGTCTGTGGAAAGCGGACCTGAGTTATTGACGTTGAGTTGAGGAAGGTTGAGTTGTAAAATTTCAATGAAGGGTAGGGGTAAGTTGAGGAATGTGCGGATGATCAACGTACTATTCCCCCCATTCGGGTCCACTCGTTTTTTGAAAAGTTATGCATCATCCGCCCACTAGAGGGTCAATAAAATAAATAAAGAAGCATATATCTGACCAGCGAACTGGGGAATATTACCTATTTAAAAAATTCTCAACACGAGATTTCGCTCAACCGTCACCTCACACAAGATCAGCAAACTGGGGAAATAGTAATAAGTATATACTATATTTTCAATACAAAGAGCGGAGCCGTAAGAGGAAACACAAAATTCTCAGCATTTTCCTAAATAGACGAAACTGGCTGGGCGAATTGGGGAAATAGTTGATACGAGCTTGATTGTCCCAAAGGCCCAGATAATAAAAATTCTATAGTAAAACCCAAAAATAGTCCAAACCCACTCCAAACTTGCCCACTAACACTCCATGAAGCCGGCCACTAGCTCTACGTGGAGTAGACATGCGATTGATGTGACTACATTTCGATGTAAGGACAGAGAAAAGGCGAAAAGCCTGTAACATGACATGGATTGAGGTAAGGCCCACTTCCGGCTCAAAAAGAGGCGTCGCACTTGCGGGCTCCCCTCATTGAACTAGGCTGCTCAGCTCGCGGCAAACATGACAACACGCCCTCAACATACAAGCACAACTCGAAGTAATCACATCACTCCTGCGTGTGATCTGACCACAAACATAGTAGGGGCCCCACCACCCCATCCATACGACAATTATAAACACAATCTTGAGGTACAAGGGAAGACTATCTCTAGTGATATACACATTTATCTTCGCTATACTCGTAGATTATTCATTCACGATTCCGATTGACTTAACTGTTGAAGTGCTAACGTCGGAAAAACCTTAACTGACACTCCGATTTGCTGGTGTTTAGGATTTGTTTGACTCAGATCCATTCTATTCCTTTATATCTGATTGAGCCATTTAGGCCAGCTCTTTCAATAGTCCCTAAAATTTGACAATTTACAAAAGTAATTCTATTTGCTAAAAGTCCCTTAGATGTATAATTTTATGTGATACAAGTCCAATGAAGCATGTCGTTTCCATCTTACCCCCGACATGCCAAAACAATGAAAGTGAAATTCCATACAGTGGACATTGAGATTGGTGGAAAATTTAAGATAATATGATAGTGAATTGTTGGAAATTAAGTATTTTAATAAAACATGATAGTAAATTTATGAAAATCGACAATGGACATTGAAATTGGTGGAAAATTGGTGATGTTTTTTTTTTTTTTTTTTTTTTTGAAAACTGATAGTATACTTCCAGGAATTGTGAAAGTTGAAAATATGTTTCAAATAACATAAAGTTGAAAATGTGTCTTCAAATAAAATTTACTTTAGAGATTATCTCGTTGAAATGTCTAAATTATCTTAATAAAGTGAAATTTGGATAAAGATGGATAATAGAGGTGGAAATATCAAATGCAATTTAGTTAGTTACAAAATGCTTTAAATTGGAAAAACAACTCACAGGTAATTCTTTAAATTATGACTTAAAAATACTTAATTTTATGAAGCAAAAACAAAAGCCATTATAGCAAATATTAAAAAGCTAATTAGGAGCCATAAAAAGCTCATAATCAGTTTCAAAAAGCTTTTGGCCACCTAAGTTGCAAATAGGAACGTATACAACCGTAATACAAAACGAATTAAACAGGAATATTAAAGAAAGCGAAACAAGAAATAGAGTGCAGGAATATAAGCAAATTCAGATTACTTCTTTTATTTACTATATGGATAAATCAAATTAAAAGTTGTCATAATATGAAAATCTAGAGACATAATGATTACAAGCATTACAACATCATAATAGTCTATATATCAATCAGACCACCGTGTACAACATGAACAAAAACAAGTTATGCCCAAACAAAAGCTTGATATTAATCTTCATGGTAAAGATACAAACCAAGACCGAAACGGGCGCATGCTCTACAAAAAGCTATTTCCTCTGCCGCAGCAACTGGATCTACAATACTCTCACTCTCGGCTGAAACTGTCCCCGTCGATTCACGATGTGCCTGTGTGTGCGTAGTTATTTCAAAACATTATTACATCCAATACTATAGGTTCCAAGGGAATAACAAATACAAAATGCATGTAGCAAAGAAGATACTATCACTTATCAGGATCCTACATAAGAATCAACAAAACATGTATTGAAGAAATGGATGCAAAAAATTACTGAAAGCCAATAAATTTTGTTAGTTCAATTAAGTTCCACTTATTTGGCAACTCGGTAACAAATAACAATCCATGCTAGTCCCAGCTGTGCACTTTTGTATTTGCAAACACTAAAGACACAAAAACTGATTGCAAATGCAACCTCAATCAATTTGGATATCATTAACTTGTTTGAATTTATTCAACATGCTTCAGTTTTTCCTGCCGTGTAAAAAGAACTCCAAGACATCATGTAAATAGGAACTTTGCCACTGATCTAAAGCAAACCCCAAGCTCATGCACTCACTACCCCGGTTCGAAATGTGAGTTATGACTATCACATTTTCCAAAAAGTAAAATGAAGACCAAATTGCAGTCTCTTCTGCCTACATGTACATATAGTATAAGAAATGAATGAATGTATGTATGTTTTATGCACACATATTTTTGTGTGTACGTTTGACACCAAAAAAAGAAAATAAATGAACAGCAGTAGCAAAAAAACCATACCTCTCCATCCGAACCACGTACTGTTACCCGATACACGACAGTCACACTTCCATTCTCAGCAAAAATGACATCCCGAATTTCACCACACCAACCTACGGAAAAGGGTTATTAGTGACTCGAGCAATGTTTTGGAAATTGTAATGTTATTCTGGCCACCTCTGCCTAAATTAATCCCTAAACTTCAATAAGTAGGACAATGGAATATATCAGCAATAATGGTTCTATTGTATCATTTCATCTTACTTAACAACAACGAATAATCACGCCGACAACCTATCGAGTTTACTAGTTTAGAACAAACAATATATTCAGCATATCACGAATACTTGGGACAATTTTCAATGCTTAGATTCTGGTCGTGATTGTTAGTTTCTAAGAAATCAAGGGAAGAAATGACAGTGACAGAAACATGGTCAAATCTTGGTTAGAGAAAGTGCAATAGAAATAAGGGCAGAAAAACAATTGGATGAAATTCTGCACTTCATGTATAAGGCCCTGGCCAGTAAGAAGTGTACGTTATATTATTTTCATTATGTTAGAAATGTTACACTATGGAATAAGGGATGTAGATCTTCTACTTTTACTATGCTACATCTCTCATCTACCACATGGAATTTTACTGAAATTGTTTCATTCTTTTAAATTATGACTTTCAAGACCATAAAAGAGAGAGTCTTGACTGCAGTAATACGTTTTTGCAACCAAGTTGAAAAATACAATGTGGCAAATACGTTTCTGCAATGACTTTGCTTAGAGCAGTACTCTGTCACCATATAAAACATCAGAGATGGAATGGAATTTCACCTGGGGCATAAAAGCTCAGCATGCGGTTTGCCTGGTACCTAGTCATAACCAGTCAATGAAATGATCAGCACATACAAGAACAAAGATAGAAACATTATTAATTCAAGAAAAGAAAAAAAAATTAAACCAAGATGCAGAGCTGCGTTGTTGCTTCTTACCAGGGGATGAAGGTGGAATGATCGTCCTGAGTCTTGATAATGTTATCAGGGATCCTCTTATTGAGGTCTCGCAGAATCTCAGCTAGAGGACGAGTGATACATGATGACTTATCCAAAGGTACAACGTAATTCGAGTTGGGTGCCGCTGCTTTCTTGCCACTGCCATCACCACCAGCCAAAGCAGAAATTTGGAGCTTCACTGTCCTCCTCCCATGAGCAGTGGAACTAATCTGAGTGTGGGCCCTCCATGGTATTGTGCACCTCATCAAAGGAAAGCTCACTTCTGTAACTGGTAAGTTGACTTTAGGGCATTGGACCGCCATCCCAACAAGAACCACTACCTAATCCAGACACAGATTTCCTAATTATAAACAGGTTCAACGGAAAAATCAAAGCCAACAAATCAGCAAAGAAGTAATAGAAAAAATAAATCCTCCAACCAAATAAGACAAGTACCATTGAATAAGAATTCAGAAAATTATATATATATATATTACTTTGCTGGTAAATCAATTCTTAATGCACTCAACCAGAATAATTTTGAACTAAACAAACCATAAATCTGTTGAAATGCGTTTTATTAGCAATAAATCAAAAATCAGAATTAAGAAGAAGTGATGAAAATCAAAACAGGAAACTAGTAAAATGTCAACTATGTCGAAATAAATTAAATGAGCAGGAAATCAAAGAGACAAACCTGGAGGAGGGCAAACGAAAAGAGGTCCAAGTTTCCACAAATTCAACAATGGCGGAGAGGATACGAGAGAATGCGATGTGGGTTTTAGGAGAGGAGTCCCACTTCCAACCCTTATTAAAGTCTGATATTTACATATTTTTTATTTTTTATTTTTTTTTTAATGTTAAAACGACGGCGTCTCTTGATTTTTTGTTATGTTAATTAATTTTGTTTTCTAGGGCTTTCTTTGTTACTTATAACAGAGTGACCACCGCTACTCTCTACTATTCATTCCTAACAAGTAACAACAGATCTTCTTCTTCTTCTTCTTCTCTTTTTCTTTTACACACACAGTAGTCAGTCAGTCTCTCCTCTCATAAAAATAAAATGGTAGGATACTCGTATGGAATACAGTCAATGCTCAAGGATGGGCATCGCCATATGTCTGGCCTTGATGAGGCGGTGCTCAAGAACATCGACGCCTGCAAGCAGCTCTCCACTATTACTCGCACCTCCCTCGGCCCCAATGGTTACTATCTTTCTCTCCTTCCTTTTTACTCTCGATCTTATTTGGGTTACCAGATTGATTTCATTCAACCCTAGTTTATTAGGGTTTACTGGAAATGTGCTTCAACCCTGCTTATTACTGCTATTAACTGAGTCTATTGATCTGAATAGCCTGGACGAACTAAATCGACTTGTTATACTTCATGCTACATGCTAGTATATTTATACTCAAGTATAATGTATTGTTTCAGTGTATTATGCATTTCCTCACTCTAATTCATGACCTCTTTTTGTTTAGGCATGAATAAGATGGTTATCAATCATTTGGATAAGCTCTTTGTCACGAATGATGCTGCAACAATTGTAAACGAGCTGGAAGTTCAGCATCCCGCAGCCAAACTTCTAGTTTTGGCTGGGAAAGCACAACAAGAAGAAATTGGTGATGGAGCTAATTTGACTGTTTCGTTTGCCGGCGAACTTCTTCAAAAGGCTGAGGAACTTATTAGGATGGGACTGCACCCTAGTGAGATTATCATTGGATACACCAAGGCCATTAACAAGGTTTGACATTGTCCATCTTATTCTAGTAGTCTTTCCACATTGATTGTTAATCATAGCCTCGTTTAATTGTAGACGATTGAGATATTGGAGGAATTGGTCGAGGAAGGTTCTGAAAATATGAATGTGAGAGATAAAGAGGATGTCATTTCACGAATGAGATCTGCAGTAGCCAGCAAACAATTTGGCCAAGAGGATATATTGTGTCCTCTCATTGCTGAGGTAAACTAATCCCTGGTACTTGATCTACTACTTCAGAACTGTCTTTTGATGTTGCTGAGTGGAAATGTATTTCTTTTGCAGGCTTGTATACAAGTTTGCCCTAAGAACCCTGTTAATTTCAATGTCGATAATGTCAGAGTTGCAAAGCTCGTAGGTGGAGGTTTGCATGATTCCGCAGTAGTTCGAGGCATGGTTCTGAAGAATGATGCTGTTGGAACTATAAAGAGAATGGAAAAGGCTAAGGTGGGCATTAACTTACATGTACTATGTCTAGTTGCTGCATAACTGTTTCTGTCTCATTCACCATGCATCTAGAAGTGCCTATACAAGTATAGCTGTAATCCCTTTCCTGTTGTCATGGCTGCTTGACGTTTTAAAACCGCTACTCCTGTAACAATAACTTACCATAATGGCCCAACATCTACGTGTCTGAAATCAGAAACTAAAAGGGTTCTTGGGATATCTTAAGTTTCATCAAATTCATTTATGTATCAAAAGAAAACATCAAATAAGAAAAAGAAAATGAATAAACCATGCAAAAGGCTCTTTTCGAGATGCAGGGGCTGGACGTGGCCAGGTGGCGGCTTTCAGAACGAGCACTGATGAATTAGTGAAAGCAGAATTGAAACTCCATTTATATGCAAGAACTGTGTTTTTTTTACTGGCTTGCTCATGTCATTTGTTCAGAGTTTGTGCTGTTAATTGTGGTGAATAGGGATCTATCTTTTCTGTTTCATCCAAAATGCTTTTGATGACCCTTCCATTTAATGAATTTGACCGGTTATTCATTGTTTTAGGTTGCTGTTTTTGTTGGGGGTGTTGATACAACTGCAACAGAAACGAAGGGAACCGTTCTTATTCATAATGCTGAGCAGGTACACAGTAGAATTTCTCTCTTCCAGCAGACTTCTAATAATTCTGCTTTATGATGTTCTGTTTCATCCTACAGCTGTCTTTTATGATGTAGCCTTCTTATTGTATGGTCTGATCTGTCATCCTAAGTAAATTTATGGATTGCTATTTCACATTTTAATAAAACATTGAAGCAGGCAATTGTGCTTCTTGTTTTCTGAACTTCTATCTGTACTTTGTAGTATCTAAAGTTGACAATTGAAAAGACACAGAAGTCAGAATTGAATCAGTGGTTTTTCTATGTTCTGTTTGGTTTTTGTGTATTATGTTTTATTCTCCTTACTTTGATTACTTGGAAGTATTACTTATCTTATTTACATAATTTGTGGTTACAAATCCTTGAAGTGCTTCTATTTTCTTGATCTATTTGAGCAAATGCTTAAAATCTTTTCCCGTGACATTTATCATTTTATTCATCTGAGTATATGCATATACAGTTCTAGCCGTACCTCCTCATCATTCATAAGAAATCTAAAGGATTTAATATACTTATCTCCTGGCATACTGAGAACACTTCAGAATTTTATTTGAAAGCTATGTTGCAGGGCCTGACAGTGATGATATAACTCTATTACGTATGTCATATCTTTTTGCAGCTCGAAAACTACGCAAAGACTGAAGAAGCTAAGGTTGAGGAGCTTATTAAAGCAGTTGCAGATTCAGGTGCTAAGGTTATTGTTAGTGGTTCAGCTGTTGGCGAAATGGCATTGCACTTTTGTGAACGCTACAAGTAAAACTCTCTTCCTGTAGTGATAATCTCTCATTCATATTTTTCCTGGGCTACTGAGAATGCTAAACTCCCTTGACATTTATACCATGGTTCTTAAAGTTTGATGATTTTGTGTTGCTTCTTCTCTGTAATGCATATTCAAGTGAATGTTTCCTTTTGGTCTATGTACTTGGTCGCACAATCATGTATTAGGTATGTCAAGGAATGTGTCGGTGATGGTATATTTAGTTCATCTTAGCTTAGACATAAAGTACCTGGGTGGAAATGCCAATAATAAGTCTATTATTGCCACTTCTCTATTCCAGATTATAGTTCTCTTTGTTCCCTGTTTCTCCTCTTTCTTTTGTTATCTCGTTTCTTATTCATGGATATGTTGTACTATTTGCTCTCGTTGTAATGTTTTGTCTATGGATTTCTGGTTCTTTGGAGATATTGCGTAATTGAACTTCCATCTTTAGCACCATCTTTTAGTTTCTTGAATGTTTTGCATTCCCATGCTCTAAAAATCTTTGTTAATCAACTTATTTAGTTATTTGGTGTTTCATTCCATGGTTTCATACTTAATTATATATTTTCTGCAGTTCGCATATAATGGCAGACCTAGCCACATCTGCCCCTTTATCCTCACTGTATGTCATTTGAAGTTTGATGTAATTGGACATTCAAAACTTTATTTTGTAGGCTCATGGTGTTGAAAATCAGCTCCAAATTTGAACTAAGACGATTTTGCCGCACTACTGGTGCTGTTGCGCTTGTAAGCATGATGGATATAATTGATTTAATGCGCGTGGTGTTTTTGTTCTTGCTAACAACCTGCTTTCATGCGATTACAGTTAAAGCTCAGTCAGCCAAATCCAGATGACCTTGGATATGTTGATTCTGTTTCAGTGGAAGAAATAGGCGGAGCTAGGGTATTATTACCAGCTTGATTTATGTTTAGGTTCATTCTATATTTTTTTGTTCTCCAGTACTTGCTGACATTTGATTCCTTTAATGTGTAATAGGTTACGATTGTGAAAAATGAACAAGGTGGAAATTCTGTGTCTACTTTGGTGCTGCGAGGAAGCACCGATAGCATATTAGACGACCTTGAAAGAGCAGTTGATGATGGTGTGAATACATACAGAGTACGTTTCATTACCAATTGTCGAGCTTTGCTTTATGCTGCAATTTGAAAATAGACACTATCAGCTGTTTCATTTCCTAGAAGTAGTTCACCAAATGTGCTTATTTACAGAAAATAGATTCTTATACTCTTTTCCTTTAGGCAATGTGCAGGGACAGTCGCATAGTACCTGGAGCTGCAGCTACAGAAATTGAATTGGCTAAGAGGCTGAAGGAATTTTCTTTCAAAGAAACAGGGTATTTTAGTTTTTCTTTCCCCAACTACATCTCATATGAAATTGGTACTGTGGCAAGTCCATAATAATGTTTTAACTTCCATGCCACGTCTAAATTAATTGCAGCATGAGTTCGCACATTCATATATATGATCATCAAAAGTTTCTATCTGATTGAAACATAGATTGGCCAATCATATGCTGTTCTGAGTTTGTTTGTTTGTCCTGCGCTAAGTTATGAAATTTAAGTGATAGAGATGTTTGCGTCAATGTCGAAGATTTATGATTTGGAATTGCAAAACTCTAATTGTGAGATAGTTGCTCATGATTGATTGGATTTCTTATTATAGTGTTGGCATATTCATATTTATTTTACCAAGACCAAATCTCATCTTCCAGATTGGATCAGTACGGTATTGCGAAATTTGCAGAAAGCTTTGAAATGATACCTAAAACTTTGGCTGAGAATGCTGGGCTTAATGCAATAGAGATCATCTCATCCTTATATGCCGAACATGCTTCTGGTAACACCAAAGTGGGCATTGATTTGGAGGAAGGTGTCTGCAAAGATGCCTCTACTGTGCGCATATGGGATCTCCACATTACTAAGTAAGTTACTCCTTGTGAGTGTAGAATAATTTAGAATAATGGGTTTTGATACATTTTTCTTCTGTAAATAATACTTGCTGATTGGAAAATATGAATATTGCAATGGATTCCCCTCTCTGGTTTCTAGCTAGACCGTCCTAACCTGGCTTCTTTCCATCCCTCAACTGCCTTAGACTGAACACAAGCTAGTGATTTCAATCCACCACACCTCTTCTAGTAGATTTTATCTTAGAATCGTATCTCAGAACATCTACAAAAGTA